GAGGAGAGAGAAAGAGAGAGAGAGGGCAAAAGGGCGAAAGAGAACGAGCGAGAGAGCGAAAGAGAGAGAGAGAGAGAGCGAGAGCGAGCGCGCGCGTGTGGGCCCGGCAGGATGCGGCGCGGGCCAAGGCTTCGCCAAGCCAAGCCAGGAGTTGGGTCGTGGCGGCGGCGGCGTTCGGTGCTGGCTTCTTCGCGCTGGTCGGTCGCGGCGCCCCTCGGAGCACGCGCTGAGGGGGCGGAGGGGGGCGGGGGCGTGAGCGGTGTGGGCGTGGGCGGGCGGTTCCGAGAGAGAGGTTTGGGGAGGAGTGTGGTGATAACGCGAAAGGTGGCCAAAGGACACGGAGACTGTGGTAGAAAAATATTTATGCTAACAGTGTTGGTGTTATAAATCCTCGTGTGTTTATGTTATTTATTGGCTTTAATCTCCGGTTTATATTTATCATAGTTTGCTACAGAGAGAGAGAAAAGAAGAACAGCTAAGGATCTGTTTTATAATTAGCAAAAGAGGATTAAGGATAAGAATTCTGCGTTAAAAGTGCAGTGTTAATTTTGGTGTTACAATCTGGCCTCTTGTTTGTTATCGAAGTATTTTATTACGAATTATTTTCATATGTTTTATTTTCTCTTTTTCGTTTTTTTTATGGATTTATTCTGTGATGACTTGACCGTGTGTTTGGTGGCAGAAACAGTGTATATGTTGGAACCTGAGTGTAAATCTTTGAAAAAAAAAGTATGTAAAAGAAAAAGAAAAAAAAATATGGCACTAAGACACACCTCTGAAGATGTCACCAGCAACTGCGCACAAACACAAACAAAATAAAATGAAAAATAAAACGAATGCGCAGTTTTGAAAAATAAAAACAAGAACCCTCTTTGAAAAAAAAAAAAAAAAAAGATTACAAATGTGCCTAAAAGGATTCATTTTTTACATATATAATTAAAAAAGGAAAAGGTGTCATCAACAAACTTTAGACAAGTACTCCATCAAAACAGTGACGACATTCTGGCAGTATATAACCAGTTAGGCATGATTACCTTGTATTAAGAGGGTCGTGTGTACCAGTATATGTGTTTGTGTGAGTGTTTGTGTTTGTGTGAGTGTGTGTGTGTGTTTGTGTGTGTGTGTGTGTGTGTTGTGTGTGTGTGTGTGTGTGTGTGCCGCCGTGTGTTTATTTTTATTGATTGATATAATTGCATGTGTGTCCAATTGTGTGTGTACGCATGTGTTTTATGTTATGCGCACATATGTGTTTATATGCGTGGTGCTTGCGTGTGTGTGTTTGTGTTGCTGAAAGGGTGTGAAGGGGAGGGGAGGGCGGGGGGGAGGGAGGGGGAGGGAGGGTAGGGGGTACAAGGAACAACTGGTCTGCTTGTATGAATCACCGAGCGAAGTCTGCTGGTAAATTCTCTCATCTTATTTTTTTTCTAACTCTCACATGACTATAAATGATGTACCTTTAATCATTTTATAAAAAGTTTGGTGACGAGGACATAGATATTTATATATATATAATCAGTATTAGAGAACGGTGGGCGTGCATATCATTAACTGTACGAGATATGGCATTGCTTCCTGTTTTAGAATTTGTGGGCGTGGATGCGTGGGAGAGGGGGAGGGGGCAGGGAGGGAAGGGGGTGGGGGAGGGGGCAGGGAGGGTAGGGGGTGGGATACCCTGTATGGCACGCAAGTCACACTTTTTTTTTTTCTCTTTTTTTTCCTTTTAAAGGACAGGAGCACTTAAATATTCTTGTCCTGAATTTCTCTGTCTCCTTCTTCCTCTCTTCCTCTCCTTCTTCCTCTTCTTCGTCTTCTCTTTGCTTTTTTTTTCTCTCTCCTCCCTTTTCGCTTTGCTATTGTTTTTGTTGTTCCTCGTCTTCAATTTTCTTCCCTTTTCTATTTTAGACGTCCGAGAACGAGAGGGAGGGAGGGAAGGAGGGAAAGGGAGGAAGGAGGGAAGGAGGGAGGAAGGGAAAAGGAAGGAAGGGAGGGAAGGAGGGAAAGGAGGAAGGGAGGAGGGAGGGAGGGAGAGAGGAAAGAGAGAGAGAGAGAAAGAGAGAGGGGGAGGGAGGGAAGGAGAGATAGAGAGAATCAAGAAATCAAGAAATCAAATCAAGAGTCTCAAGAAAACCAGATTAAAATCATGGCATTCCCAAGCACATGATTTCCACACGACTGTGAATACAATCCGAGCTTCCAGCTATCAGGTTTGCTCGTGTAACCGATCTCGTAAATCGGTTGCATTTGCTTCTATAAACTTAGTATGTTGTATTTTTTTTTACGATGATGTAAGATGGCCACTGATATCCGAGCAGACATGGACATTTTAAATCTCGATACTTTTTTATTTCTTTTACTTCAAAGACATGATTTATACAAATTTGGGCGTACGTGACTTTCGACAAAATTCCTCGGCTCTTAAGAATCCGCAAACCTCACAGATTAATATCAGATATTCGAAATCACAACTAGACACCGAAGACATCAAAGTGTACAAAATATTTAATCAGATAATGAGATAATTCAATGAAATAAACAAAAAAAGGGTTGACCCAGCAACTCAATAAACCTTTCCTCGAAAAATGACAAAGCCAATAACCCAACACTCTCTAAAGCAGTCTCACGTAACCGCAAGGAATCAATATAATAACACGTGCAAACGTAGAGAAACTGTCTTTAATGCCTATTTTGGCTTCCATCAGACAGTTACGGTGACAAAGGCTGCCTCGCCCGTTTTCTGTGGGCGGTGAAGGGGAGACTTTCCTAATCTGCGTCACAGGAAGGTGAGGCGCTATGTGTCAGAGATTCGTGTCGCATATTAATGGGATTGACGAAGGGGCGCTGGAAGGAGGGAGGGAGAGCAGCTGGGATAGTGAGTGGGGCTTCATTTATTCTCTCTCTCTCTCTCTCTCTCTCTCTCTCTCTCTCTCTCTCTCTCTCTCTCTCTCTCTCTCTCTCTCTCACTCTCTTCCATCTCTCTCCCTCGCTCTCCTCTCTCTCTCTCTCTCTCCTTCTCTCTCTCTCTCTCTCTCTCCCTCTCTCTTCTCTCTCTCTCTCTTCTCTCTCTCTCTCTCTCTCTCTCTCTCTCTCGCTTCTCTCTCTCCTCTCTCCTCTCTCTTCTCTCTCTCTCTCTCTCTCTCTCTCTCTCCTCTCTCTCTCTCTCTCTCTCTCTGTCGGTACACACCTGCGCGCACTCACTCTCCTTAGGACGTCATACGGCAAACCAATCAAACACTGTCATCCCTTTCTTTCGAAAGGATTAAATGTATTAATCAAATGATGTATTCATTTATTTATACTCCCTGGAAGAACACATTTTCCCCTTATCTCTCTCTCCCCTCCCTACCTCCCTACCCCTCCCCTTATTCTCCCTCTCCTTACCTTTTATTCCCTTCCTCTACCTCTCTTCCTCCCACTTCCTATCTCCCCCTCTTCCCCTCCTTCTACCTTTCCTATTCCCCTTCCCTATTCCTCTCCCAACCTCATCTTAATCCTTATCTTCCCCTTCCCTCTACCTTCCTATTCCCCACCCCCCTCCTGTCTTCTCCCCTCCCCTCTTCCTTCCCCCACCCCAATGTCCATCTTCCCTTCCCCTTGCCTTCCTCCTAATTCCTGTCTTCCCTCACCCTCTACTCCCTATCTTCCCTCTCGCCCCCCACCCCCACCCTCTGTCCCCACTTCTCTCCTACCCTATCTACCCTCCCCCCCTCTTCCTTCCCACCCCCCAATGTCATCTTCCCCCTTCCCCTTCCTTCCCACCCCTAACTTTCTATCTTCCCCCACATTCTATCCTCCCTATCTTCCCTCTCCCCCAACCTTACCTCCCCCCCCCAACCTCTTATCATCCCCGCCCCCTTCCCTCCTCCTCCCCCTCCGACCCCCCCTACCCTCGCCGCCGTGGGTCTAATTCTGCCGCTACGTTTTGGCGAGCGGAAGGGCGGGGTCCAGCCGTCGCCTTCAAACCCCGCCGCCGCGTGTCTCGGTCTCGGGACTTGCTTTCGGTCTCTCGAGCCAGGAGGAAGGAGGAGGAGGGAAGCAGGAAGAGGAGGGGAAGGGAGGAGGGAGAGGAGGAGGAGGGAGGAGGAGGGGGAGGAGGAAGAGGGAGGAGGGAGGAGGAGGAAGGGGAAGGGGGAGAGGGGAGGATGGAGGAAGGGGAGGGGGAGGAGGAGGAGAGGAGGAGGAAAGAGGAGGGGAAGGGGAAGGGGGAGGAGGAGGAGGGGGAAGGAGGAAGCAGGAAGAGGAGGAGGAGGAAGCAAGGAGGGAGGAGGAAGGAGGAGGAGAGAGAAGAAAAGAAGAAAAGAAGAAGAAGGAGGAGAGCTGGAGTTTTCCGAAATGCAGTGAGGCTGAGACGGCAACATCGTATGAAAGAGGGAGGGAGGGGGAGGGGGATAATTTTAATTGTGATTGCCTCTGTTGTTATTGTTTGTATAATCGTTACTCTCTCCTTTGGTCTTGCATTTCCTTTTTGTCTTGTCTCGTCTCAACATCCTCCCTGTCTGTCTGCCTGTCTATGTCTCTCTCTCTCTCTCTCTCTCTCTCTCTCTCTCTCTCTCTCTCTCTCTCTCTCTCTCTCTCTCTCTCTCTCTCTCTCTCTCTCTCTCTCTCTCTCTCTCTCTCTCTCTCACTCTCTCTCTCTCTCTCTCTCTCTCTCTCTCTCTCTCTCTCTCTCTCTCTCTCTCTCCTCTCTCTCTCTCTCTCTCTCTCTCTCTCTCTCTCTCTCACTCTCTCCTCCCTCCCTCCCTCCTCTCCCCTCTCCTCTCTCTCTCCTCCCTCTCTCTCTCTCTCCTCACGCCGCGGAACACGTAAAATATTCCCGGTGTAACCTTCAACACCAACAGCAGTATTTGTGTCGAGAAACAAGTACACACAGAAGCACCGAGTGTCTAGCGCGGTGAGAATAATATTACAAAACATGCAAATACCAGCCGTTTCTATCACCTGACATCATTCAGAGTATCGAGAAACCAAGATCCAGTATTTATTTCAGGTTAAGTGATAAAATAATATTTATTTTTTGCTTTGTTTTTGTTTTTATAAAGGTCGTTTGAATTCCATATTGGTTCGTTGGGTGTTTCGTTTGTTGTTTTGGTGTTTCGGTCGTTATTTTCACTTTTTTTTTTCGTCGTCTTATCGTTCTCGCTTACGTGGTTAGGAGATCGAGTAATCACGGGTTTTGTATTGCAAGGCGAGAGGTCAACTG